TAATAATAGCATCAAGAAAAATGAAATAGGAGAGCCACACTGAGCCTTGGGAACTTCAGTGAGCTGCTCAGGCGGGGAAAAACATCCCACCCCATTGTGCGAGCAACAGTGAGCTTTGAGATCCTCAGTGACAGGAGGAGAGAAACTCGATGCACTGGCCCTTTGTCATCCAGGGAGTCTCAGTCTGGAGTAAATCTGGTGCTTGGCCGATACTCTTAAAACGTGGTCAGTCAGCCAACACAGGAAGTGCTTCAGAAACAGCAACTGCCTTGTTCAGAGGTGTCCCGGGTAAATTCACTCTAAGGGGAAATGCTTTGCATAGAAATTCCTAATTTATGATGAGTTCTGTCTTATAACTATAGACTTTGCTTCTATTGTCTAAAGTACCATATCAATAGTTACCAGAGTTAGTCAGCTTCTAAACTGTGTTTATTACTAATTGTATTACTGTAGCTGTCATATGTGTTGTAATAAGCTGTTCTTTCTTGTGTAACAATATAAGGAATATCTGTGGTAATAATTTCACCACAACTGTTACGGACTTCTGGACTATATTGGAGTATTTTGCTGAAGTCATGCACCTACAATATTTAAATGGCAGTGGAATACCCACCTCTGACAAAACTAAACAAAACAAGGGGATACAAATGAAGGACCATTTTGTTTTTTGTTTTCTTTAAAAAAATTTTATTGAGAACCAAATAGCAATGAGACAGTTTCACAGCTGATTACTAGCACATTTTCAATAATTAATAAATTGCATATTGTTGTCTTAGTGGTTATTCATTGTACAAGATGCAGACCTGATATTCTGTCTCAAATATTATTAGAATAAACCTCTCTGTTCATTGAATTAAGAGAATGGAGCTGTGTATCTATCCTAACTATTTTTTTTTAATATACATAATATTTTTTTAAATGTATCAGGTATTTAATTAGGTTCTTAGTAAGAAATTTAAAACACTAATTTATGAGGGTAAATTCCATTTGTCAGAGCAAAAACGGATTGCAGGTAGCCCCGGAGCTGAGGAACACCTTTGATTTTTGCCAAAATCTGTGAGTCCACCGCTTTCTGATCCACCTTGCACTGCTCTGAAATCTGGTATCTCTCTTTCT